TTAATTGATTAATTGAAATTGTCTATATGATAATGTTGATAAAGTAAAAGTTAATTTTTATTTTTTAAATATAAATTTATAATAAAAATATATATTTAATAATTTTTAACATGTACTTTAAACAAACTCATTTTAAGTAATAAGTAAACCTAATCTACTTAATTCAAGTTTAAACAAACCCATTTTAAATAATAAGTAAACCTAATCTACTTAATTCAAGTTTGACCTCTTTGGTAAATTAGTTGAGTTCAAGCTTCACTTTTTTTGAATTCCATAAAGCTTGAGCTTGCCTCATTTCCAACCCTAATTATTACAAAAAGAAAATTACAAACAAACAGGAGAAAAGTGGTTGAGAGTGCATGTTAACTCATATAGCAAATTTTCTACTTTTATTTTTTGTCTAAAATACAATGATGAGGAATTCTACTTGTTTCCTTGTCTTGTCCTAATAACAGTTATGTCTTATCCTCCCTACTAAGCTTTCAGATTTCTGTTTGCAAAGATGGGATCCCATTCATGTGGTCCTACGGTCCCATATGTGAAGTACTTCCATGAGTCATCTTCTATGAAATCAGAATTCAAAGATTTTCCATCTCTAATTTGCTGTCTAATAGTCTCAACTCTGTCAAGAACACCATTAATGGTGAGATCAAATGCATCTTCAAGTGTCTCCAGTCTTGATGTTGGATTAGCATATATTACCTTTGGAATCAACTTAATGACCTCTTCTCTCATTGCCAATCTTTTCTCCTTAGGAATTCTTTGCAGTATTCTCTCAATGTTAGCTTTCCCAGATTTGACATCAGTCCCCGCTATGAACACAGAGTATTTCGTATAATCCTTTGGGAGATGCCATATGTATTGAACATAAGCTGTACCCGGATGGAAGAATACAGGAATGCAACCAGCTAAAATGGAATCGAATACTGACCGCCTTGTGTACGAATCCCCCGGAGGTTGTAAGCAGTACACAGAATTTTGAAACATTTTCATGACATAGACAGGCTTGTAGCACTTGTTGTTCTTGTCATGACATTCAAGCAACCTACATTTCCTCCTTGAAGCCCTGCATTGATCAATGACCTCATTGCGTATGGATTCGTGTAGATTGGGCCTTGGGGCGCCTGCAAAGGAGAACAGGTAGCGTCTTTTCAGTCTTCGCATTCTGTTTTGCCATTGGAACACCTCAATGTCACTAGAAGGGTGAAAGTATGTGGGATATGGTATGGCAAAGTCATTGTAGTTCCATGGACTTGATTCGAGCACAAGCGTTGTCATGTTCCGGGATTCAGGCAGGTTCAGTAGCTCATTCCCCCAATCAGACTCATTCTTGGGGTCTCTCCTGAAATCCCAGTTGATCCTTCCAGCTACAAGGAAATGATCCCCACCCCACATTCTTTTCCACTCAGGTTTTGCTGCCAGCCACTTCACAAGATTAAGTGCATCATAGTCTCTCATAAATCCATCAGAATCCCAGAGGTACCGTCCAACATCAAGACCAGCATAATATGGAACAAAAATTGCTGAAGCTAAGGATGGATCTTTAGTTAAGCACCTGTACTGTTTCATCCTGTTATGGAAAATTACTTCTAACAAGAATTGGTTTGTCCCAAACCATCCTGTTCTTGAGTAAACCTTGTCATAATCCGGAAGTTGGGATCCTAATCCGTAGTTTGCTGTGTACTCACACATGTCTATCCATTCACTAAGTGACCTGCAGTTGTCCAGCAAGTCCTGGTTGAATTTCTTGGGAAGATTATGAATGTATATGTATCTACCTGCACACGAAGTAGGACCAGACTGAACCCTTGCAGTGTTTTCTGCCCTTTTCTGAACAACAGGAGATGAATCAACATTTTGTTTTATTTTTTGCCTCATTGATTCTCTCTTGCTCCTGATAGATGATCTTCTAGCAACATTTTCAGGCTTTTGCTTCACAACATTATCTTTATTTCCTTTCTCAACAACAGGAATACTTTCTTTCTCCCCAAGAAAAGATGGATCAACAATTGCTATCCCTTCATCCTTCTTCCTTGTGTCATCATCTTCCTTACTTGATTCCCCTTCATCATTTTCTGCACTAGAATCTGCATCAACATTTCCAGTATCATTTTCCCTCCCCAGTGTTTGGTTATTAGCTTCCAATTCATTCACCAAATCCATAATTTGATCAACATTTTCCACCCTGCGAACCAAGGACTTACTAACAGGTTTCCGGGCATTTTCTCTTTCATTTTCAGAATCCTCCCCTCCATTAACATCACTAACTTCAACCACTGCCTCCTTCTTATCAACATCATGAACAATATTGGATTCTAAATCTGAAGATGAAACATTTACTTCAATTTCATTGCTATCTACCAAACCAAGACCATTATCCCCAACCGATAGAGATGAATACAAGTAAAACAATCCAAACCACAAAAGAAAAGAAACTAAAACAATGTACCAAGAATGTTTCCGGCAGCGACACTTTACAGTGTTTGGCTTCTCCATCAACGCATCACTGCTCATGTTATTCCTATGCATCTGACGTTGTTCTTCCTCTCAAACAATCTTAAACAATGCTAAAACAAAATCCATGAAAGTAACTAGAAAATGGAGAAATATATCGAAAAGAAATTGGAAAAAACAAGAACTGATTGAAAAGTTTGGGAATTTGGAAAGTTTGTCAATTTGGATTGAAAAGAAACTTCAGGCATTGGGGGGAGGAGAGGAGAGAATAGAGGAAGTTGAAACGTTCAAGAATTTGGTCCATTGAATGCTATCCAAGAAACTTTTGTATACCTTTCCACATATAGAGAAAATCAGTTATTCTCAATGGGCAAAAGGATATCTTTTACATATATTTTTTTTTATTTCCCTTTTCTAAATGATTTTTTTTTAACCGAAAATTAAGTTTCAAACAAGAACTGTGTTATTCATTATTGTCCTAATCTCTTGTTAAAAATATATACTGTAAAGAGAATCAAATTACAAGATGATGGATGAAATTATAGAGTGAATTGATATAATTTATTAGGAATGAAAATCACACCATTAAGAGATTTGATGCTAACATCTTGACATCATCTCAAATTATATAATATCATGTCTTGTATAATAAAATCATATGCATAGTTTTTTATTATTTTTTATTTTGTTTAAGAACTCTTAAATCACAAAAATATGCATATTTAACCATTTAAATTTATCAAACATTAAAGCGAAATGTTAAAAATACTTGGAGGTGAATTGCATATTTTTCAAATGAGAATCTTGTTTTACTACGATTATAGATCAATTTGGACTTTAAAATAGAAACTATTTGACAAGAAAGAGTTTATAATATCAAGAAACTCAACTCTCATTAAATAATTAATATTTTATTATCTGAATAAGTTTGAATTATAAAATATTTTTTATTTTTAAATTACAAATAATTAATAACATACTTTTATAATATAATGAGTTAATACACACATCAATCACTTAAAGGACCAGCAATAATCTTTTTCTCTTAATAAAGCAAAATATTTTAATTTGTGTAGTAAAAGCAAATAAGCACATAATATTGTAAAAGCAAATAAGTACATAATATTTTATATATATATATATATATAAGGTTGTCTTTTATTATAGCATTTATAATAAATATTCACAATTTTTAAAACAATAATAATAATAATAATAATGACAATAAAAGGAAGAAGGAATTGTGGTTAGAATAATAAGTTTCTGATTGTCGGGAAAAAGGAATTTTGAAAAAACAAAATAATGGAAAAGCTAAACAAACGTTAACTTAGTCGCGGCGCGGTGGTTGTGGAAACGTTTCCCTCCCCTGCAATCCATCTTCTTTCGACTCTAGATTCCCTTAAACAATTGTAAAGTAATGGCATTTTCCAGCTAAGGGAACCCCCCCAATTGGAGGATTTTGTTTCTGAACATGCCGAGGGACTCGGGGAATATTGAGATCAAGGTGACGTATCCCAAGAGAGGGGACAATGTGGTGCATCCGGAGGGCGCTACGGCGTCACGGGCGTCGACACGCCTGCGGGATTCGGAGCGCCGCCCGCAGAGGGAAGAGTTGGTTGAGTTCAGGCCGGTTGAGAGGTGGGTACCGTGGCTGGTGCCGGTGTTTGTGGTGGCGAACGTTGTCCTTTTTGCGGCCACCATGTACGTTAATAATTGCCCCAAGAACTCGGGTTCTTGCATTTTGAAGTTCTTGGGAAGGTTCTCTTTCCAACCCATGAAAGAGAACCCTCTTCTTGGTCCTTCTTCTCCTGCGTGAGTCTCTGTTTCCCTCTCTCCATCTTCTACTGCATTTGGGAATTTTTGTTTCTTCGTATAATGTACATGGGGATAGCTTTCGAATTGGATAGAGAGATTTATTTTTGTGAAAATTTCTGTTTTTTCTTTTTTGGGTAAATGTGGGAATGTCTGTTTGTGTTTGATTGTATTATTTTGCTATGTAGAGTTGAAATGCATTCGTTGGTTGTTTGATGTTCTGGCTATGTTGTTTTATTGGAAAGTTGTGTGATTAATCTTCTGAGAAGGCATGTCTGGTCCTGGAATGGTTCCAAACAAAATATGTAATTTGCTCATTTTAATAATGTTGTTATGTTAGTTTGGAGTGGCTTGGGAATCAACATTTGAGCTATGGATGTGAATCATAGTTATATACATGTTTATGTCTAAGCAGTCCTTTTCTGTTTTCATTTTTTCAGATTAGAAAAGATGGGTGCTCTAGAAGTGTCTAAAGTAGTTGAACAACACCAGGTGTGGCGCCTGCTTTCCTGTATATGGTTACATGCTGGGGTTTTTCATTTACTTGCCAATATGTTGAGTCTTGTATTCATTGGAGTTCGGCTCGAACAAGAATTTGGTTTTGGTATGCATCTCGTTTCCTGATTAATCTTTTCTAATTTTATTGGGTATACCAGCTTGTTAGTTCTCATATGTGTTAAAGTGCACAACAAGGCAATTTCTTAAATCTAACACTGCTTCCAATTCCTGGTCTTAGCTGGTCTTCACATCACCTTGATTAATTTTCTTTGGAGATCCAGGGCAAGGGTCCCTGTAATCACCAAGCTTAAACTTCTATCTTTCTTGCAAGTTTTTAGCATCAATCATCAAATATAATGAAATTTACTAGCTCTCAAATAAATTTGAATATTTGGAACTCATTAGGCAGTTACGTCCTCATGATGATGCTTAGTTAACCTCTGAAAAAACATTACGAATTTCATGTAATTCTAATTTTGTTTTGATATGTGCTTCTGCAGTGAAAATTGGGTTCCTTTATGTCATAGCTGGTTTTGGTGGGAGTTTGATGTCATCTCTTTTTATTCAGAATGGGATATCTGTTGGTGCTTCTGGTGCACTTTTTGGTTTATTAGGGAGCATGCTTTCTGAGCTCATCACTAACTGGACAATGTATGCAAATAAGGTACATTATATTCATATGATAATTTTTCACCTGTTGATTTTGCTAAATTTTTTACTAAATTATCTTACGGTTTCAGAATTTTACATGCAGCTAGCGGCACTGTTGACTCTCATTTTCATCATCGTGTTAAACTTGGCTCTTGGACTCCTCCCACATGTTGACAACTTTGCTCATATTGGGGGATTTCTTTCTGGTTTTTTCCTTGGATTTCTGTTTCTAATTCAGCCGCAGTTTGGATATATCAGCAAAAGAAAACTTCCTCCAGGATATACACCAACTTCATCTAAACCTAGACATAAGCTGTATCAGTATCTACTATGGATCGTTTCCTTGATCCTATTACTTGTTGGGTAGGTTTCTTGAATGTACTTATGTTTGAAGTTTGAACTCAAAATAACCCATTTATACATGATGTAAAGTCACCTTTGACGTGTTGGTCTTCATTATTACACAACATCTTCACCGACTGCATTCTCTCAAGCTACTTCATTTTTGTACCCACTAATTGGACCTTAACTATCACTGAAATTGTGCCATAATTCCATGTGGAAGAGGGCAGAGGGCAGAGGTTAATAGTCCTTTGCTGTTGCAAAATTAGTCATAGGCAACGCTGTTTTAGTTATAGTTCATTTTATGCAACAAATTAATACCAAACTGGTATCTGACATAAGTTCTTTAATTATTTGCAGATATATTTTTGGCTTGGTTCTGCTACTTCGAGGGGTTAATCTGAATGATCATTGTTCATGGTGTCATTACATGACTTGTTTCCCTACCTCATTGTGGAGCTGCAAATCACAAGTGTATTGTGAGGTAACTGATGAAGTATATGAATAGAAAGTTTTGTGATTGATATCTCCAATTTTATTATCAATATATGTCCTTGTCAAAGAATTGCATTATTCATGTGATCATGGATATGTTTTTGCAGTCAACCCAATTCCGGAATCAATTAAACTTGACATGCATGAGCAACGGGAAAAGCAACACTTACATCATGTCAAACAATAACATTTCAAATGTTCAGCAGCTATGTTCTCAACTTTGCAGTTGAACACTTCTAGTATTCTTTCTATAAACAACTTGTTGTATATGATTCATTCAAGCAACCGTATAAAACATTCTTTTTATTCTTGAACAAATGATCATCATTATATCATCATTTCTAATTACTTCTGCAACATTGTTTCTCCCTCAAACTTCTTAAACTTCCACTTTTTCTATCTTAATTGGATGTAGATGTAACTCTACATCCTAAAATGCCTCCAAGTTGGTGTTCCAAGTAGTTAAGGGTTTGAAATTCCAAGTTATAGATATCGAGTTTGAACCTTGAGAAAGATGAGGAGGGATTAAAGAAATGAGATGACTATTCTCTCTTATATAACCTATCGTCTATTAAAAAAAAAAAAAAGAAGGGAAAAATTCTACATCCTAAAACTCAAACAACTAACCAATTCTATATGGCAGCTTCTATTTCATCATGGTCTGTCTTGGATCATAGATTCCTCTAAGGATCTTTGGCCCTTTTGATTATAATGTCAGGTAGTTAAGTTGGTTGTTAGGGTAGTTGAGCTTTAAGCCATTTAACAGTCTTATGCCAGAATATTGTTAATATGACAAATCAGCTTATTTTGCGGCTTTG